AGATCCTGATCGCAATGACCAAGGCAGTGCCAAAGGGCCATGCACAGGAGACCGGTGTCAAGCCAATGAGACGGGGGACCGGTGCCGGGTCGACCTCTCCGGAGACTGGTGCCAAGTATCCGATGTCGGTGATCGAGGACGAGGGCCCAGTGCCGTGGGTGAGTGGCTCTCACCGTGGGTAGCTCTCACCGATGGCAGACCGGTGCTGGAGAGGGGGAGCGTCGCACTGGTGTTGGAGATGCTCTTACAATGTTTGATGCTGGGGTGCGGTGCCGTGGCGATAGCGACTGGGAGCGGTGCTGTGGATGGTGCTGAGCCGGGGACTGTGAGCGTCGCATCATAGCCGGCTTACCTCTAGATGGTACCGGATGTATCAGTACCGGAGGCTTGTCCCTCAGAACTGGGGCCTGTGAAGTGTCTGGGGTGGAGGGTGGCTCTAACTCCTCCACCTGGCATTGCCCTTGCGGAGAGTTGCTGAGTGCCGGACTCAATGGTCCCCTCTGGGGCACCGAAGTCAACGGCACCAACTCATGCTGTTTTGATGCCAAGTCCATTCTGGGGTGCGCCTGTGCATCCCCGATGGTCCCATGGCTTTTGGAGCCGGTGAGCACCCCCTTTCAGTCTTCCTATGCCGCTTGTGCAGCACCGACGAAGTCAAACTGTGCCGGGTCGCTGCCCCTGGCTGTGGTGCTGGGGAGCGCTGGTGCTGAGGGTCTCTTGTACTCGAGTCCTTCCTTGGCACCCTATCAAGTACCGATGCCGGAGCCCTCCATACAGACGCGCTCAGTGCCGGGTCCAGGTGGTCTGCAGCAGGCTGGGGACGCAGAGCAGATTCCATGAGAAGTTACTAGAGGCGGAAATCTCGCTCCTTTTTGGTTCTCGGCCGAAAAGTCCTACACATTTTGTACTTCTCAGTCTGGTGCGCCTTCCCCAGACACTTTAAGCAAGAGTCGTGGGGGTCACTAATGGGCATAGGCTTGTTGCGAGCAATACAGGGCTTAAAGCCCTGGGGTCGCGGCATGCCCCAGAGCCCGAGGAGGGGTTAGGGACTGGGGAGACATCCCGCTCCCAAACCTTACTATCTAAACTATTCAACTATCTACTATGTAAACTAAAACAAGTAACTAGAACAACTAACGAGGGAGAAACGCTAAGGAAAGCCCTTGCTGAGCAAGCGAATGCTGTTCCAACGGCTGTCATGTATGGTAAGAAGGAACTGAAGGGGGCTCGGGTCGGCAGGGTCATATATTGAGTGCCATGAAGGTGCCACTCCAGGGGGCTCCACAGCCGATCCGACGGGAGCTGCTAAGGGAAAACTTTCCGATGACCACGCGTGCAGCGCGCACACACCTGATTGGAATCGATGTGAACAAGCACTTGAAGAAGAACCAGATTTTTATGATACCCAATCCAGTGTCCTCACCATTGGACTACATTATCCCTTGTCTAAAACTTTTGGAGTTTCCCATATCTCAAACTATACAGAAGAGTGAAGTGTATGAAGATAAGCAGTTTTGTAGGTTTCACAAAGGTTCAATACGTGACTCTGAAGATTAGGTTGTTATTTAAATGGGAATGTACTCATGTTTCAATTCACATGATATTGCATGTTTGGGCAAAAGCAAGAACAGATCAAATGAAATCATCTTTAAAGAGGATGATAATTAGTTGAAAAACGTGTTAACAGGTATATTGGCAGTAATTTGGACATCCACTTGAAAGGAAACTGAAATGGTTAAGTATCCTTGAAATATTTAGTTGGATTTCAATTAATAAATTAAAGATCCTGGTCTTGGTTGTGAGGGTTTCCATCTGTGCTGTTCTACAGCATAATATGTCATCTGAGTGGCTGAGTAGTATTAGGCCAGGTTTTGAAGGAAATGGACTGCAGGGCCTGGCTGGAGTTAATGTGCTGCACTAAGTGAAGCTATCCAATGGCGAATGTGTTTTATATAAAGAAAGATGGGGAAAATTCAACCACTAAGTTCTTGGCACAGATTCATTTGATCCATTAATCAATTAATGTCTCCCAGCAGAGGACAGAAATAATTCAATGTACTTGTTAATCTGTGCCATAGGTAAAACTTCCACTGGTAGTTTTGGAATTAGATCCTGAAACCTTTATTTACACAGTCATATTAACTTGAAACTACTTGCATATATTCTTTTCATGTAGAGTCACAGAATAAGGTCCTTCTTTCTGAAGAAGTTATACATGTTATAATACTGTTTTTTCCTTGTAAAAGTTAGCTGGTATCAAAATGGAGGAACTCGGTGAGAAAATCCAAAGAGGAAAACATGAACTGACATTGATCCACGATGATCTTGGAATTATGTGAAAATCTAAACAATGCAGATAGTAAGTATCACTTGCCACCAGACCTCGCCTAAGAGCTTAACAGCTCAAGCTGGTTTTCCACAACATGTCTCAGCCAGTCCACGTGGTTAACTATTGTTTCTAATATTATGGACAATTTTCTTCCTGCTTGTTTTGTTAACATGGGGAGTCATTAATTTATGATAACATACCACTTCTGACTCTAAAATGAAGAGCAGCACTAATAGAAATGTTCTTTTTCTGAACCCAATTTAACAGAGAAAAGTAGAACAATTACATCCCATTAAAGCAGATCCAACAACTGCTGCATAGGATTAAAACCACTGTAAGCATGTGACACAAAAAGTTGATACAAAAGCTGGAAAAGAATCATGTGGCCAAGAATGAATTAGTATAGCTTAAAAATATAGCTTTCAAAAAGTTCAAGAATGGACTACAGTAGGTACCATTTCCTATTCCTACTTACATTCATGTCAAGCTACAGTATCTTCTGTGTTCTTTATAAAGGGGAAGACAGATCAGCATTCCACTATATTATAATCATCATCACTACTGTACTACTCTCACCTTTCCAATAGTCCGTATTTTGACAGACTAGCCTCCAGCTCTTCTTCAATGACTGTCAAAACAGTTAAAAGGGGATGATAAAAGGGCCTGTCAATCAAAATCACAAGGCATTAGTAAAGGTCAAAGTGGAACTGTTTAATATTAAACTTTCAAAGACCGAGACACTAAAATTCAGATATCCTGGTTTTCAATTCAGAGACTGTAAAAAGAAGAGAAAACCTCTTAAGATGAATCTCTCTCTCTGACAAGGACAAATGAAAACAGCAATGGTACCAACTTAATTCAGTCTTAAAGCTGCAGTGTTGGTGTCCTTACTGAATATTGTATGAAACTAGAGTCCTCAGTTTTATTTAAATGATGTCCCCATAGCTTTGCTTCTCTTCCCTTGTTTTTCTCTTTTTTGCCGACATGAAAAACCTGTGACTTTTGCAAAACTTAGTGTGGTATTAACCATTGTCTCTTTACCGGTCAAGCTTATTACATGTATATGCTGACACAATTTCAATTATCTCATGAATTCTGATTTTGATGTCCAGAACTGATAAGACCAAGAAGCGAAAATACCAGATTGATCACAGATCTGCCAAATTGTAACAATATGACAATGTCTCTTTGGTAAAACCATTCTGCCAGCTTCACAATAAAGCCACATTGAAACCATAGAGATAACACCACTGAACGGAAAAGCATAGGAGACCAATCAGTGAGACAAAAATAAATAACTTGTGAAGCCAAGGTCCACAGCAAGCCACAATTTTACACCAGGCTCAGGGTCAACCACCAGATACTTTAAGAGTGTTCTATAAAATATGAACTCAGAAGTAGTTACAGCCTTTAAATGACAGTTTTGTTTATGCAGTTTAATGACAAGCAAAATAAATAAGACGGGACCTGATCTGACATGGCTTTGAGTAGCTCAACTCCCATTCACGCGTGTGAGTGCTGAGGATAATCAGTACTTTGCAAAACTGAATTCTTAATAAATAAGCACAGATAGAATATAATAAAATATATGGATAAAATCCAGAAAATACATTACCTATAAATAAACCTACTCATACTGAAAATCAACGGCAATAAGACAGATATCATGACCTTTAATATTGCCTCACTATCACCAATACGGATAGAGGATTATTTTCTCACAAATGTAGAAACAGTCACATACTTGGGCAGCACCATCAGCCAGGATGGTGGAACAAGCCAGGACATCCGTAACAAAATCAATAAAGCCAGAAACACCTTCAGGAGCTTAAATACAGTCTGGAAATCATCAAAATACAACACCAAAACCAAACTCAAGTTTTATCAGAGCTGCGTACTTTCAACATTACTTTATAGTGCAGAAAGCTGGGGGATGAGAAAGTATGACATATCCAAAGTGTCTTCATTCCATACAACCTGCCTCGGAAAAAAACTCCGTATCTTTTGGCCCAGAACAATCTCAAACCAAGATCTATTGACACAGGGCAGCCAAGAGGGTATGAGCACCATCATTGCCAGGAGGTGTTAGAGATGGATTGGCCATGTGCTTTGGATGGAAAGTAATTCCATCACCATAGTAGCAATAAGATGGACACCTGAAGGCAAGCGAAAACGAGGCTGCCTGAAAACAACATGGCGAAGAGCTGTGGAAGCTGAGCTGAAAATCCTGGGGCACAGCTGGGGAACCATTGAAAGACTTGCCAGAAACAGACAGGAGTGGAGGAGCTTCGTCGCTGCCCTAAACGCCAGAGGCATAATGGGAACATGATGATGATGATGATGACCTATACATTATGTATCAGTCATTCTTCTGCTAACAGAATATTTATTTAAGAACATAAGAACGGCCATAATGGGTCAGACCAAAGGTCCATCTAGCCCATTTACTTATTTAACATTTTTCCAGAGAACAAACTCACGTACAATGATAAATCTGTTTAAGGGATCCTTTCTGACTTACAAAACTACATCTCTTAAAAACTCCATGGTGAATCCAAATGGAACTAAAAAACCAAATTCTGCAGTCAAATACATCCGCAAACAGCTACTTTGGTATCAATTTAGTTTTAAGTTTTGATTAAATGAAAGATACATACAAATGGATACTCACACGATATGAGCAAGATCAAGTGGCTTCTCTGGCTGTTCAGGAAATACAGGATGAGGTGGTTCTCTAGTGGGCACACAACCAAGAGATTTACTAATTGCATGGCTCAGCTTCTTGGCAGGCGATTTCTGTTTTTCAAAGAAAGTCAAACAATGAGTAGATCAATCTGTGCAAGGAAAGAGCACAGATGTTTAAAAATATCCCACATTAGAAAATCTTTGTGTAAATACCATATCTAGCTGATTAGTACGAAGTCATGCATCCAGTACAATTCAGACCCTGTAAACAGGGTGAGTGGCTGAATTAATCTCTACATTCCTATTGAGCTGGAATTCTGAAAGATGGTAGACTCATTTATTAGACTGCTAAATAAAGAAATATCCCAAATGTGAACTCTGACCTTTCTATCAGGGTCACACCAAAAGGTCATTAGTCTGTGTCATGGTATTTCAGCTATTAAGTGGCCTTTTGAGATATAATTTTGAAATATGATACATCTGTGACGTTGTGCAGTCTATATGGTTTTATAAAAACTTGATAATAAGTCAATATAATGTAACTGGGATAGTTTGAGAAAATACGGTAATAAGTGAATGTAACGTAACTGGGATATGCTTCATGCAAAAGGTCTCTTGTAAGGTATCATTACAAAGCTTATAATCTACTGAGTATGATCATCTGATTTGTATAAATGTACCACTCTTGTATCTAAAACTAGAAATATAAAATGTAACTCTGAGGGCCTATTGTAATTATGTAAAGTGTGGGCCATTAATGATGGTTTGGAATCTTGATGACTCCCATTGTCTGCAGATGGCTGTTTACCTGTGAGTCTCCCTGTATATGTGTGTGCTGGCAAGTGAGTAATGAAGTCTTGCAGTGACATGTGATCATGTCACCTGAACTGGAATCCATCTTTAACCTGGTGCTTTTCCAGTGAGGAGGGGTGGAAACCCAGAGGGACAAAGGGTTCCCGCCTTATGCAAAAGATATATAAAGGGGTGGAACAGAAGAGAGAGGGAGAGGAGCCATCATGGAGAATCCCCTAGCTAACACCTAAGCTGGAACAAGAGCTGTACCAGGGGAAAGAATTGTGCCCAGGCCTGGAAGGTGTCCAGTCTGAGAAAAACTTACTGAAGCATCTCTGAGGGTGAGATTATCTGTATTCAGTTTGATTAGATATAGATTTGCGCATTTTATTTTATTTTGCTTGTGACTTACTTTGTTCTGTCTGTTACTACTTGGAACCACTTAAATCCTACTGTCTGTATTAAATAAAATCACTTTTTATTTAATAATTTACTCAGAGTATGTATTAATACCTGGGGGAGCAAACAACTGTGCATATCTCTCTATCAGTGTTATAGAGGGCGAACAATTTATGAGTTTGCCCTGCATAAGCTTTATGCAGGGTAAAACGGATTTATCTGGGTTTAGACCCCATTGGGAGTTGGGCATCTGAGTGCTAGAGATAAGCACATTTCTGGGAGCTGTTTTCAGATAAACTTGCAGCTTTGGGACAAGTGATTCAGACCCTGGATCTGTGTCTGGAGCCAGACTGGAGTGTCTCGCTCAGCAAGACAGGGTGCTGGAGTCCTGAGCTGGCAGGGAAAACAGAAGCAGGGGTAGTCTTTGCACATCAGGTGGCAGCTCCCAAGGGGGTTTCTGTGATCCAACCCGTCACAACACCCATCAGAACCTGCCACCACCTCTCCCTTTAGAACAAAGGAGGTGCTGCTTAAAGAGAAGAAGGAAAGAAACACTTAAGGATACTTAGTCAAGATCACCACAAGGGTGGACTATTCTTAACTATCAACAACTACTCTGTTTTTTGTCTTTTAAGGATTTACATCACATTCATATATGGTAGCAAACCTGAGAGGAGTACTGTCAGGGATAGAAGCAAGCCACGTGGGCTTCACCCCAGAAAGACTGAAATGAAGACGATAACTATTTGTGACGCGCTGTGCCTTGGGGAACGCCCTGCACTCCCATGTTCATCCTTATAATATGATTGTGGTATCCAATGCAAAGTTTGTCATGTCGGGTGTCTTTGTAAGGCTCATGATGCACTGAGCATTATTGTTATAGTAATGTTATAGGTTGTAATTTCATGTATATAGTTATGAGGCTGAAAATGTGTCCTCATGGGTTAAACCTCATCTTGTCTACCATAAAGAATTAGTTAAATAAACCCAGTGACAGTGAGACTAATTACTTTTTCTAACTTATTAACATATTATTGAGTTTAAAGTAATGTTTTTGTGTACCAAATATGTTATCCTGTAAAAAAATGGGAGAACAGAATTCCTATTTGTTTAATGGAATAAGGGGACCATCTTTTTGACCAATATATTTCTTATAATATTGCCCACCGTCCCCCAGCCCTTCCATGATCCCAAATTCATAAACATCCCTGAATTCTCAGCAGTTGTGAGTCCCCTCCATTTCTTACTCACCTCCACTGACTTTATAGTTGACTCCTCAAAAAACACCCTCTTCGCCCTTAATATTTTTGTCCCTCTCCTATTGCACCATCCACTTAAATAACCATCAACCACTTCCTCCATCCAAGTCCTGTGCTACTGAAAATCTGTGGAGAAAATCCAGGGATCACACAGACTTCCTCCACTAAAAATTCACCCTTTCCTCCTTCAGGGTTATCTTCCACTAACAGCTGTTCTCTTTCCCTCCCCCATTACGATTCACCCTATAGCTCCCATCATTTGTCGCCCTCCGCTCTATCCTCAATCCTTTTCCCCAGGATTCTTCTCAGGATTGCACTGACTTGAAGATCAAACAGTTCAGATTTGATCACTTTCCCTCTACCCTTATGTCTATCACTCATGTATCACTTTTGTGTCCAAGTGCTACCATCTCATCACTGTTTCTTTCCCTCCTGTCACTGACTGATGGTCATTCACTTAATTCTCTATTCCTTTACCACAAGCTGTCCCCTCAATTTTCTCTGCTTCACCCTCAACCTCTCCTTATAATCTGACTCTTTCCACTCAAACTACAACCCAGGCTCCAGTATTCTTCCACTGTAAAAATAAATAAATAAAAAACCCAAACAGCTTTTCAACCCAATTGCCCCTCCAACTACTGTTCTACTTCTCTTTATGTCCTGAATGTGCTATTTACATCCCTTGTTTTTACTTCCTTCTTATCTCACTGAATCCTCTCTCCTCTCCAATCCTGCTTCCTCCCTCTGCACTCTACCGAACTTGCTCTTCCATGATCACTAACCATCTTTTTCTTTCCCAAATCTAGTGATTTCTATCCCATCCTTTTCCTTTGTACTTTTCAAAACTAATGATTACTCTCACGTTGAATCCTGTCCCCCTGTCACCTTTGTTTCTATAGCACTGTCTTCTCTTGGTTCTCCTCCTACTTCTTATCAGTCCTTCAGTGTCATTTGTAGAGCCCTGCATGGATACAAAATTTGTATCCGCATCCGATCTGCAAACATTGTCTGTAGATATCCGCAACTGTGTAGTAATTTTGTGATGCCAAAGAAGTCCATTATGAATTAATTTAAAGCCACTGAACGCAAACGGTATCCCACTTGGATGTGAGTCTCTGGAACTGACAGCGTAACAAATTAAAGTAGTAACAAACCTTGCTTCTCATCCCATATTAATCAGTGGAGAAAAAAACGTATTCTCTGTGCTTTCAAATTTAAGGCATTAAGAAAAGAAGAGTACTTTGTATCAAATTTATACCTTGTGATAAAGTTGGGACTGATTTTACATCCCAGTTGTCATTTGTATTTTGATAATTAATAGATAAGTATTAGTAGTTAAGAACTGCAGTCTCACCTTTTCTAAAATAATGAATTGGTTAAATAAACACAGTGACTGAGACTAACACTCAAAGGCCCCAGTCAGGATCAGGGACCCATTGTGCAAGGCACAGTACACATCCAGAGGTAGACATTGTTCCAGCTTCAAAGAGTTAAAGATCTAACTAGTAAAGTGAATCAGATAAAAAGAATGAGCTAATCCTACAGAGAGGTTACATTTCCTCACAGCGTCTAATAGCTTTAACATTAGAAAAATGTGCAAATGCACACTTGGCGATTCTAAAAAAGACACCTCACAGACAAGCTTGTTTCCACCCTTGTGCTTACACGTGCAGTTATTAGCAAGATTCTAAACATTTTCTAAGTCTTCACCAATATCATTCTCACGTTAACCTTAAAAGCTATACATGGCTCGTGACTGTAAGCTGCATAGGAGTGGTCACTGAGAAGCAAGACACAAGAGTCTCTCCCAAAACTGTACTGGGTGACAACAGGTTAGTATCTCTCAGTCATACAAGAAATTGTATTTAAGGCCTGGTCTATACTACAAAGTTTTGCATACACAGCTGTGTGGTCTAAGAGTGTGAAAAAAATCACATACACCCAGCCAACACAGCTATGCCAGCAAAACTCCCAGTGTAAATGCAACTATGCGTACAGAAGAGTGCTTCAGCTGGCATAGCTAATGTTGTTTGGGGAGATGATATAGCTATGCCAGCATATGCCTTCTGACGACTTATGCTGCATCTACACTACAGGACTCAGCCAGCATAGCTAACCAGCCAAGGGAGAAATTGGTTGTGAATCTGAAGATTGAAGGTAGTTTGGGTGAAAGTTATCATGAAATGATAGATTTCAGTATTCTAAGGAAGGAAAGGAGTGAGAGCAGCAGAATAAGGACAATAGACTTCAAAAAGGCAGACTTTAACAACCCCAGAAAACTCGTAGGTAGGTTTCCATGAGAAAAAAATCTAAGGGAAAAGTAAGTTAAGGAGAGCTGGTAGTTTCTCAGAGACAATATTAAAGGTAGACCAGCAAACTATCCCAACGTGAAGGAAAGACAGGAACAATAGTACGAGACGACTATGTCTCCATCAGGAACTCTTTAATGACCTAAAAAAAAAAAAGAGGAATCCCACAAAAACTAGAAACATGGACAAATTACTAAGAATACAAAAAAATAGCACAAGGATGTAGGGACAAAATCAGAAAGGCTAAGTCACAAAATGAGTTACACCTAACAAGGGACATAAAAGGCAATAACAAGAGGGTCTTTAAATACATTAGGAACAAGAGCAAGACAAACGAAAGTGTGAGAACTAT